ACAGTTCACCCCAAAAGCCTGACATCCACGGCCCACAGGCCCTGCATCGTTTCAGCCAAAAAAAGGCCTGAGCCTTTTCAGCCTGAAACTGAGGGCTATTTCCGGGCCTACAGGCCCCATGACGGTTCAGCCCAAAAGCCTGACATCCGAGGCCCACAGGCCCTGCATCGTTTCAGCCTAAAAAAGGCCTGAGCCTTTTTAGCCTGAAACTGAGGGCTATTCTCGGGCCCTCGTCAGACCAACCTGCCCTGATACAAGCACATTCGGGCATTGGCAGGAGTGACCTGCCCTGAAGCTTCCTCAAGGGCTAGCACGTGCAGGCATTGGCAAGAGCAGCCTCCTGGACAGGCCAGCACTATGTAAGACTAGCCCGCCCTACAGGTTGGGACAGACGAGAGGAGACTGCCCAGGCACTCGACGTGCACTTCTACAGGAGGCAGTAGTCTTCAGGATTCGGCTGCAGTAGTAGAGTAGCGTTAGCAGTAGTCTTCAGCGCTGGGCGCTAGTAGCAGTAGACCAGAGTAGTGGAGAGAGGAGGCTGGCGGAGGCCAGGGATGCTTACCTGTGGCGCCATAGCTCCAGCTTCGTCTTCGAGGTACCTGCAGCAGAGCGCCACTCACCGAGTGACTTACCTGAGGCGCCATAGCTCCAGCTCGCCAGCGAGGTACCTGCAGCACAGCGCCACCATCACCGGTTAGTACCTGGCATCCAGAAGAGAGAGAGAGAGAGTTCTTCCTCTTCCTCCTCTCAGTCCACCATCTCTCTCCTACCCTCTCACCATCTGACTTCACTGCTTCGGCAGCCTACGAGAGTGAGAGTGGTTTACTTGCAGGGCTACAGGTAGGGGTTGTCACGGGCATTGGCCCAGGATCTGGTTCGACATTTTTGGGCAGACATTTGGTTGGACTTCGGCAAGGGACTATTTTGAACTTCGCTATTGCGATCTTAGTCTTCTCCCTTGCCTCCATCTTCGTCCTTCCTTCCCCCCCTCCATCTCTTATCCGTGGTATCTCCCCATGTGCGTGTATGCAGGAGGGATCTTCGTCTATGTATGCGGTCCCTTCCTTCCCTCTCACATGTGTGATGTATGATGGGATGTCGTAACAGTCCAGGTCAGGTCAGGACTTATCTCCAAGTCTTCCGCTGTGCTATTAAATGCCATTGTTCATGTATCGGGATGTACACTGTCTGTTGATATTACGTTAGCAGTCCACTGTCCATTCAGTCCTTTTCATCACAATGCGGATCCTTGGCTGAACTCTCAGTGCCCGACTGGGCATGTAACAACTGCCCTCTTACTCGTGGGATGTGACTCTTCAATATGACTTTTCATTCTGAGGCGTGACTCTTGCCCCTAAGATGTGACTGTTTACTGGGCTCCTGTTGGACTGGACTCCTGAGGTGCCCGATTGTGACTTTTCTGAATTTGACAAGCTCGGTCTCTCTTAACCAGGCCTCTGACCCTGAGATCCGAATTTGGGGTCTGAATCGTGGAAGGTCTTTCAATTGCCCCTTTCTTTCTTTTTTCTTTCTTTCTTTTTTTTTTTTCTTTTTTTTTTTTTTTTTTCAACTTTGCTTGGTATTAAAAAAACAAGAACAGAGGCCGGGGACCTCACAATTCAACCCGAGTCGCTGAAAAACAGGTCCAGCATCCTATCTTGGGTATCAGACTGGAAAGCAGGTCCAGTGTCCTCAGAAGAAGAGATAGAAAACTGGCTGGAAACCATGTCCAGCGTCCTTTCCGAAAAAATACATCTAGTAATTCTAGCATCTCTGCATATGGCGGAAGAAAATCAGGTCCGGCGCCCCTTTTTAGATTCAATGACATAGGTTTCTGATAGCCTTATGCGTTCTGCTGCTCAGTGCCCTTACGAGCTCAGATGGGACCTCAGACCTTCTTAGCCTGATGGGCCGCCTGCTGAATCCATAATACCTAGGTCTGCGAGTGGGTGGTCCCACAAGAGCTCCGAGTACCTGAGCTTGTCCCTGTCATCGAAGTAGGCCCAAGAGTGTAGAGAGGCCCACTTGGATTGGAAGCGAATCTTGGGGGGTTCTGTCGAGCCTGTTTGCTTCTTGATTTTGACCCACTCCGACATGATGTCTAGTTTGATAGCATGCTTGTATTCTGCGAAGATAGAGCCCAGGGTGGTGGCTTTCTGAGAAAAGATTCCGTCTCTTCTAGCTAGGCAGAGCACCCAAAAGGCTCTCACCCGAAATAATTGTGCTATTTTGAGAGACTGTTTGTCACAAGCCTGTTCTGGTTTACCCGTGAAAACAAATTCCTTCTGCCATATTAGAGATCCTCCGTATGCTTGTGACCACATTTGTTGTAATCTGTCCCAAAAACCTCTTGCAATGACACATTCCCACCATAGATGCAACGAGTCTTCTAATGCAGCTTGTGGGCAGGCTCTGCACAAAGTGTTAACTTCCACGCCCTTTCTTGAGCACCACATCGCTGTTGGGATGCAAGAGTGGAGGTGTAACCACTGTAACCCCCCTGTCTTGGTCTCCAATGCCCCTGGTAGCAGATGAATGAAGAAGGTAACCCATCTAGACTCAATAGTCTGCAACCCCAATGATTTACACCTGTTTACCCATCCAATCCTTAGGCTCGCTTGCAGCTCATGGCTCTTAGTCTGCAACCTGTACCCAATCTTGGATGAGTAGTCTGTGAGTGGTAGTGTCGAGGTAACCCCTGCTGTACCTGTTATTTTCCAACCAATTTTGTCCACATCCTCTTTCCATTCATAGACTGGTTTGGATTCCAGTAATACATGAAATTCATTATTCCCTCCCTGTCCATTCTTTTGAGTTACGCCAATCCTTTCCCATCCCACTGGGGTTTTCACTACTGTGTCTCCTTGTGTCTGCACCAACCGCGAGCCTGAGAGTTCCCATTCTGTTACTTCCACCTGTCCATTCCCTATTACTTTCTCTATTATGATAAAGGAGGACGTTGTCGGGGACCTTCCACCACTGCAGTTCTTCGTAGTCCTGGCTTGGTCATCTGAGAATATCTACTCATGAGTCTAGGATAGCTTGTATGATTGCTTGTCTATTCTCTTCGATCCTGCGCAGATTTCCTAGCTTTGTTCCGAGCTCTTCTCTGGTCTTCCAATCTTGTGTTTCATTGTCCCATATGTGCCTGATCAACCAGATTCCTCTCTGCATCCATTTCAGGCCGAAACTACCTGGAGCTTTGGATGTTGAGAGGGGTAGTTGTTGGCCGTCTCTGATTGTTGGATTCTTGAAAAAGCAGGTAGCCGGTACCTCCTCTTTCGTGTTTGGATGCTCGATTGTCTGTGGCAGGATCTTGTGCCATGCTTTCATGATTTCCCTCCACGAGGGGGAGACCGTTCTCACTGTGAAGGATGGCATTAGCATGGCATACCAAACTGCTTCGAGGTCCCTGAGACCCCAGTCTCTTGCCAGTAATTGTTGCGCCATATTGATCCAAGGCTGATCTTCCGTTGGTATGAGGGCTTTGACTGGCCATTTGGACAGCAGGGCTTTGCTCTGTGTCTCAGGGTCTAGTATTCCCAGGCCTCCATCCATGCGCTTTTCCGTAATCTTTTCCCAAGTTACCTTGCTCAGAGTAGATTGGGCTTCAGAATCACCTTTCCACAGGAAGCGAGTAAGGAACCTACGGATGTTAGTTGCTGTTCCAGACGGGATTCGTCTGATGGATAGAACATACCAGAATTTTGATAAAATTGCAGTGTTTATGACCATTGCTTGTCTGAAGAGAGAGAGAAAGTGTGTTTTAGACCATTGGGAACAAGCATCTTTGATTTTATTCTCCACCATGGCGGTTTGGACTGGTGTGTTGTCCTCAAAGGAGACTTGAATACCAAGATATCGTTCCGATTTTGAAGATGGTTTTACTGGTGTGCGTAGGTCTAGAGCTAGCGGTGACCCCTAGGGAGTGAATGTCACTGATTTTTGCCAGCTCACTCTCATCTCCTAGGCCACTCTATAGGTGTTGATACATTATTGTAAGGCACCTACAGATTCAATCGAGTTTTCAGTAATGGCAGTGAAGTCATCGGTTAGTGCTGAGATTGAAATTGATAAGTTGGGTGTTATGGGGAGACCATTGAAGAAGGGG